ATGTTTTGGCTGCTTTTTTTCATAACAATAAAAAAAAATGTGTTTGAGAAAAAAAATTCACCTTACCTGGCCTAGTTAGGTTTTGATTCAAATGAGATGGTTTCAGGGATAAATTTCCATGTTACAAAGAGAGGAAGGTTAAAAGATTTTATATATAGAAATAATAATGACTATAATGGTAAAATAATAACAATTATGGGTCTGAGAACAAAGGCATTAAATACATATTAATAATTAGGAGAGGTACTTCAAAGAATATGAGTACCTCAAAATATATTTTAATGAGCAAATTGAATTTGGTCTCAGTGAGAACCAAGCTGTTCTACTGAAAAGAATAAACCCTAGCAATCCACAATTAAAGGACACAGGGGGCCAATTCTGTGGAGATTAAGTTAAAGCCCACTTGGGAGGAAAGTGCCTACCCACACAGGTAAATTTATCTCCTTCAGGGCAAGCCAGGAAAGGGACCATTCACTTCATGTAGGTGAACACACTTGTCCCAGGAGGCCACTTTATTTACAGCTTCCTCCTACTGAGGATCAGGCTCATTTGTTTTTATATCTGAAATCTATGTGTAGTCCTTGCTCACATTGCATGTGTTATTATAAAACACCTTTCAGTATGCCAGCACTAAAATGGAGTGCTTCTAAACAAATGTTCTCTTAGGCAATAACTCCTTAATATAAACTGCATTGGGCAGTGATTGTAAAAAGAAAAGGGTAAGGCATATTCAAGGAAAATGTCTGGAAGAAATTTGCAATTAATATTTTACAAGACATTTAGATTCCACAGTTTCCTCCTTGCTGTTAAAATTTAAGAGCTTTTAAAAAACTGTATTCTTCTGTTATTACAACCTTAATTAAATTAATTTATACAGTGAATGCTCTAGTGATACTGCTGTAGACTTTCAATCAAAAAAGTCTTCTTGCCAGAGACAGTATGTGTTAAGACTTTGAAAAAAAAATGACATAGGCACAGTGCTATCAATGGTGCCAGGATATTTATCCCTGACATCTGATCATTAAAAAGGTCTTGGTACTTTTTCTACATCTCAACTAAGATACTTTTTAATTGAGCTAAATTAATCCAAAAAAGTCAAAATGAATCTTTCAGGTTGCCTTTGTGAGGATTTATTTCTCTCTGTGATACACAATGGTAGAACACTAACTTCTGCTGAATGACACTGCTGGTTAGTTGTGCCTATCTGAAACCCGAACTAAAGAATTCCATTACTTGGTGTGGGGATGCATACCTGTAATCTCAGCCCTCAGAAGGCTGAGACAGAAAGATACAGATTCGAGGGCAGCCTGGCGCTATCTTGTCTCAAAAAACAAATGGGAGAGAGGATTATCTTTAAGCACAATTTGTTACATCATCAAAGCAGAGACAGACAAAATTTGATCAAGAAAAAGTCAATCAAACAAGCCATTACACCAAGTCCAGTGGCTCATCAAGTAGTCTAGGCAGTACAGACATAGTCATAATATTCCTTTCAGGCTACAAAAAGCACTATTCAAATGTAATTGTGTGTGTGTGTGTGTGTGTGCATGTGTAACAAGAATTCTGTCAAAGTAGAAAAGCACTAAAGCATAAACTAAGAATGTATCAGTTCTGTTCATCCTTTGGATAGACCAACTAGAACAGGCTTGACCTTTGGCTGTTTCCTGCTAATACCTAGCTTACAGCTTGGCACACAGCAGGCACTCTTAATCATTTTTGATTTATTAACCTCATGAAATATCAGTGGTCAATGGGTATTGTACCTAAGATTTGATCTGTTGCTTATGCACCAAGCAAACATTTCTGGAGGAGAGTTTGATCAAACCAAGGAAATAACTCCCAGGCTCTCATTCCTTGCTCTCAATGTGGAACTGTCAATTTTGCTCCCTTGATTTCTACTATTGTTTGGCCAGGATTTATGCTGAACATTTCAGAAGATGGAAGATCTAGTATATTTCTCAGTACAGGTGAGAAATGTATCCTCAATTATACTGCACTGCTTAGTATGGCCCTCATCTTTCACCCCAATACCCTCACCCCATCCTGCACTACAGGGCTCTAAAATCCATGCAGGACATGAAAAGGAGGGTGCCTTTAAATGAAAGTCGAATTGTGTACTGTTCAACAGTATACAATTCTATCAGCTTGTTCTTTCTTCCTGCGCTAACCATCTTCCATGTTTCCCTTAAGATAGGAAGATGGTGCATAAAGGGAAAAGTAAAACCCTAAACATTAATCAACTTTGGTTCCATGATAAAAGTTCCTCATGATACAAAATGACTGCAAAAGAAAATCACACAGGAAAAACAAAACAAAACAAAACACCCAGCACCATTTGATCTTGTTATAAATTGAAAGTTTGGGATATGTCAGAAAAAAAGGCAGCAACTGCCTTTTTAATGGATTTTATCCACAGGAAAATGATTATAACCAGAAAAGCTTTAAAGTGTCAGCTGGTGATGCAGTTTTCTTTATCCTTTCTATTTTTATTCAGAAAGAAATTGAAGGCATATGGCAAAGTGCATCATTAATTTCTTATTAATTTCATAATACGAAGACAACCAGTTGGAATAGTAGTGCTACAACTTTAAATTACTGAACTCACTCGGTATTTAGTGAGAGATTTAGCACAGCAGGGTTTCTGTTAAATTAAGTTGTGCCTTCACATCACAGTGGGAAAACAGGTGTATATTGGTTTAGAATTATGGAAATGTTGACTAATTCCAAGGCCTGTAATCAAACAAAAAGGTATCCTGTAATATTTTTCTCAAAAGAATATACATTAATCTTTCATGTCTGAATTCCACGTCTTCCTGTCCACCAAAGTCTTGCAGTTGAAAAGCAACCAGTTTCATGTTTACCCTGCAGCTGTTAAAGGTGATGTTTAACAGATAAATTCGTACATAAATGTGAAATGTGGAACTCTGTCCCCACTTACCACATTTGAAACAAACATAGCAAGTGTGTACACAGTAAAGGCTATGAATCTTACAAGTCAGATCTGACTTTTCAAATTTTTGTTTAACCTACCTCAAGTAACTGAGCATATGAAATTGAACTGGGTAAAAAGAAAGCAAAAGGCAATTCAACAATCATACTTTCCAACATCCAAATCACTGTCCTTAATATTGAGTCTCCAAAGTTACCACTTCCAAATTCCACATGTAGAAATTTTAAGAAAATGCACAACATTCAAAAATAAATTATATGTTCCATTTTTTTTTTTTTTTTTTTTTTTGCTAAGGAAAGGGTGAGAGAAGATTTCACAGCAGAAGTATACTCATCAACACTTCTATGCATTTCAACATGTCCTATCATGTTTCTGGAGAACATTTCCACATCAGAAGATGGGAACTGTGCTTCTAGTACAGAAGATGCATCCAAATTAACCAAGGTTTGCATTCAGATAAAATATGATGCCATCTGGCATTAAAGCATATTATGGTAAATAACAATTCATTATTTCAAGTAATTTTTAAAACAGACCTGGAAAGAATTTTGTGTGTTATCATAAAGCATTTATTTTTAAGAGAAGGAACACAAAGTGATCTTTGCATTTGAGTAGGAGCTCTGAAAAATAATTTAAAAAATTTCCTTGTTGTTGGCTGAGCCAGTAAATATTTGCCTTCGTTGCTTCATTCAATAATATGACAAAACACTACAACCTTTTAGAATTACACTGGAAAAACTCCATTTACATAGAGAATGAAGCTAAAACATTACTACAATTTTTATGCTACTAAAAGCAAATACTAAAGCCTTGACAAAGGCAGCCTTACTAAAAACCACCTTGGAAGTTTTAGGGAGAAGTAGTTAAATTAAATTGGGGAGATGATTCTGGTACCACATTTGCTTTCCTATTCTTTGATTTTCTCCTTGAAAGGTAAAAATCAAAGTGGTATGATTTAGGACAAGATTTATAATTTGCTACTTTGGGGCGATTAAGAAGCTAATATTTTGAAAATGTATTGAGCATCTTGCTACTACAAATGTAAAATATTCAATGGATCTAGGGTGAATCACACAGTGCTATCTTTTCTGGCGGGTAAGGGAGATAAAACACTTATGTGTTCACATATACATACACATTTTGTATGTTTACAGATACATATAAGTGACAGAAAGTTAGACTTAACACCCTGAAAACATCAGGGACATTTGATCTTTCTTTTATTCTTTTTGTTCTTATGAAACTACTTTTCTGTAACATTGTACTTGTACCGCTTACCACAGTTCATTCAGTATAAACAATGCATACCATTGTAATTCTGAATTAGCTCATCATTGATATTTGAGCAATTTGGGAAATTTATACTAGCATGCAATACATAAAATTGTTTAAAAAAGTCCCTTAAAATATGGATTCTGATGAAGGTGCTATATGCAACATCAGTTCCTTTCTAATGAATTGTAATAATCATCAAGTATTATTGGGATGGAAATGTAAAAATTATTGTAAGCTCTGTATTTTCTGCTCTATATCAACATGAAGCCACAAATTGGGCATTAAAACACTGACTTTGTTAACCACCATTGACTGTTTAGAAATCATTAGGAGGCTTAATATTATGTCTGTATAGGGTACATTTTGTCCTTTCAAAAGAAAATCTAAAGATTAAATTTGAAAAGGGGCTCCTGGTGAGTAAAAGCTTTTCCTTTTCCATTTGCTTTGCTTGTGTGTGTTGGGTTTTTTTTTTTTTTCTTTTTAAAATCTTAGCCCACCCAACACTCTTTGGCAGTCACTGTACCCAGTGGGGTCACTCTGATTTTCTAACCAGGGGACCTGCTATTTGAGAGCTCTTCCCATTAGCATTAATGCCAGTGCTTCTTTATGGGCCAGCCAACTGGTTTGGCTGCTGTCAAGAACAGAGAGGTCAGCAAACACTCCTCAAAAGACCAAAGTCATTTTTGGCACTAAGAACGCAAAACTAGAACTTTCAGTTGAAAAAAATCATTTTCAAGCAATAAAGTGATTTTGGTACAAAAGTAAACCGACTCACCCCAGGTAAAGTTTTAATATTGTGCAGTGCATTCTGGGCCTCAAGTGCAGCTTTTCTTGTATAAAACGTTACGAAACAACAACCTACAGAGAAAAATGAAAAGGTTTTAGAAATTTCTGTGAATGCTCTGCTTAGATATAATGGAGAGGAGGAGAACAAATAATCTACTTAAAAGGATTCACAATTTAAAAATAATAAAGTATATGAGAGCAGAATAACAACATCTCAAGAATTTACACAGTGCCTTTCATCTCAAATCACATATATTAGCTTTACCAATGTTGGATATCAACTTATAACCCTGTGCACCAACTATCTGGACTACAGCTATTCAAGAATGAGGGTGGGAGGTGGTGGCAGGGAGGTGAGGTGTTAATGGGACTTGTAGCATAGCAACCACATAAAGAAAGTATTTAATCATAATAACAATACCAGAAACTTGCATTAACTATAATTTTCTTAAAAGATATCTCTGCAATATCACACTTTTAAAGCACTTTCTAAACTCAAAGGTGTAGACAACTGGATTATAAATTTCTTACAAGTAGGGATAGGATAGTTGGTATTTTATCTCTACCACAGAACACAGCACAAAGTTCTGTACATATGACTGCTCAAACCTGGTGTGCCAAAGAGAAAAGCTGTACTTTAATCAGTTTAGAAATTAAGCTATAATATGAATGCACATGTGCCCAAACAGAGGTTAGCAGACTCTGGCCCATGCATTAAATGTGGCTGTGGCACACCTCTGGATGTGTGGCCCATGAGAGTCCAGGCTGAACCCCTGCCCACCCCTGCCCAGATAGGCCAGCAGACACCCTTGTTCTAACCAACCCCCTCCACCAAAGACAATGATGTTGAAACCTTTCAGTATTCTGAACAATGGCTGTCTCCTTGTACTTAAAAAGATATTGATTAATAGTTTGTTAAAATGAACATATGGTTTCATGGCACAACTAGGCTTAGGAACAAAGAATTGACAAAAACTTTAGAAATTTAAAGAAAAAAAACATGCTATTTTTCATTTGGGCTGTACTGGGTAAGTTGAAAATGAGAGAAAAAAAAATGAAGCGAGGCACTCAACCATAACTGAGTCTTTACCTCAATTTAATGATCCTAATAAATGGAGCCAGATAGGAATAGGAAGAGCTAAGAGGGGTACTCACACCACAATCACAGCAAGAGAAATGTACGATGCTTAGGCATCAGTAGTGATTCTATTTAGGGGAATGATACAAGTAAGACAAAGAGCGAAACAAAATGACACAGCTACAGGCAGATAGCTAACACTGCAAGCCATCAAAGATTTAGAATCTCATGTCAGCATTCTGATTTCTCAAAATAAGAAAACTCATTCAATGGAGTAGGGGAAAATAAAGTATAATATCAGTTATACAGCATTCTTAAACATATCTAAGATGGTTCCTCTTAATCTGGGAAATTGTGAACCTGTTATTTTACACTTGATTCAGCCAGAGTCCACCAGGAATAAACATGCAAAACCTCCATCTTTTGGACAAAGTAGAGTATGACCCTAGCTTCTTGGCATTGAAAAAAAAAAAAGCCATACATTCAAGGATCTGGAACCCTTTAAATATATCATTTGAATCACAGGAGAAGCTGAAAATTATGAGTTTCTTCAAAGAATCAAATATTTTATATGAGCTTCACTTTAGCTGTTTTGACTTCTCTGACCAGAGTTCATTTGGCCATACTACTTGACTCGTAGGACTTTTACTGAACAAACTTAACTAGTTATTTTAGATTTACTGACACAATGTAAGCCGAAGAAAAGCTACATGAATTGCTTCAAACTGAAGGATAATTTTGAAGGAAAGTCAGTTTCTGGTAACCTATTGCTTTATTTTTGTTTTTGTTTTGCAGTATTGGGGTTTGAACTCAGGGCCTCACACTGGCTAGGCAGGCACTCTATCATGTGAGTCATGTCCCCGGCTCCCCACTCTTTTTACTTGTCATTTCTGTAATCATTTTCTAGAGGAAGAAAAATATAAAAAATATAAACTATGCTTCACTAGGCTGAGTAGAGAAGAAGAAAAGCTTGCTGCTTTGTAAATGCAACACTCTGAGTAAGTTCTCTTTTCCTTCTCCTACGTTCATGAGTCAGCTTCCCCGATAAGGAAGCAATGAGGAAGTTCCAAATTTCAGCTTCACTTAATAACCAAAGCAGAATCTGATACTTTTAAGCAGGTAGCTTTTGGGGGTGAACACTTAAAAGAAAGATGTAAGAGATGAAGCAGTCTGCTTGTCTTAAAAGAAAGAGATTAAGGAAGAGTATGCTTGGGAGATTAAAAAAAATACGCTCAGAATCCAGAATGAAAAGTTTAGATTGGCCTAAAGGAACACAGAAGAGACAGGGGATTGAAAGTATTAAGTATACACAGTGGCAAGGCAAAAGCAACACGGGACAAAGATGATGTGAAGTGAGTAAATTGTGTGCTCTTGCATGGTGGGTCCACTTGAAGAGTGCTGATCAACAGTGGTCACAGGAATGAGGGAAGCTCTGACTTGGACACAAAAAGAAACTCCTGCTACTTCCCATTGAAAAAGAATCCCATTGCCTAAGAATCCACAAGGACCATGCAGTCCACCTGCTATTTAAGAATTAAAATGTTGCTGTTGTGGAAGAAGAAATTTTAAAACTAAAATTCACATTTTAGTGTGAATTTGGTTATTTAAGGTGTTTTCTTCTTGATCAAGGTTCTTTCAGTGAATGAATGTAAGGTGGGTGGTTTTGTGTTTTCTTTCTTTGAGAAAAGGAAAATTCTGAAGCTGGCATCTCAGCAGTTGTGGGAAAGTGAGTGAAGTGGTGGAAAGGAGTGAAGAAAGGTGACTAATGTACAGAAGAGGAAATGGGACAACACACCAAATCTCTCTAGCTTTTTCCAAGTTCACCCAAGGTTCACTCTTTCTGTGTGACTGTTAGGGTGAAATCAGGAAAAGATTGCTATAGATCCTTTCAAATTATGCATAGCTCTTATTTATTTGTTTTACTGTATATCCACTTAAACAGAGATTCTTTAAACTATATCAAGGTATTTCTAGTTTTATTGTAACAGCATAGGAGAACGACCTAGATAACATGTATATGCTTCCCTCACTGCTTGCATATTTGCCACAAACACAAGAGCTCAGCTCCACAGGTGCCATAACTTGGCAGTTAAACTTAGAATCTTTATGTGTCCTGCCTCCAAGTGGGCACAGCCTTTTTGCCACAGTCCACAGCTTGGTGAGCAGAGCCCAGTTTATATTCCTGACCCTACTCACAGTACCAGCAGGCAGGCTGTGCAATAATGACTTGTACAAACGTGAGGGTTGTGAGACAGATAATAAGACTGGGAATATTATTCTAAGAGTCTTCTTTTGGTTTCATAGTTTGGTTCCTGAATGGCATAGAGGAAAATATATTATTTTCTCTACACTTTAGTTTCATTACCTATAAATCAGAAAACAAAAACCAGATCTGCCTAAAATCCTCTACCACCCTCAGATATACAGATATACAGCCATAGTGTTTCATTCAGAACAAATTTTCTTAAAAAATAAAAATTTTTAACCTTTATTGGGCTAAAAATGACTTACACTTCATTTGGCACAAAGTGTTTGGTTAAGTTATCTTAAAATACAGACCTCTAAATTTAAACAATCGCCTTAGATGCAGTAGTTAATACTTCCTCTCTAACGGGACTTTGATTGGTACATTTCCAGAATGAGAATGTATGTAAAAGACTACTGTTTCTGTCAGTATTCTCCCAGCTAACAATCATAGTCTTTTTATCCATCCACTTAATATATAAATTAAAATCTTAGACTCATTGTTCTACACAGAATATCTCAACAAAGGAAGGGAGAAGTATTATTATTTTTCCCTGGTATGGAAATTATTACGGCAAAAGGTTAGGGAGCTACTATAGATCCCAGATAACCCATAAAGGCTCAACAGCATGAAATTTTCTTTCTTGCTGGCCCTAACTGAAAGTACAGCTGTTAAGGGAACCACCTGTCTCTTAGATTTTCCCATGCCAGCTGTAACTCAGGTCTAAAATATGCTGGATTCATTTTCAGGTCAGCTGCAACACCAGATGGCCCAGCCATCATATTCAGGGGACAAGGTCTCCCTCCTTCTGCAGGTTCTGCTTCAAACATTAGTGTTAGGTGGGTGGTTAAATATCTACAATACCCAGATGCTCTCCGGTGGTCAGTGGTTGCAACATGAATCAGTGAGGCCAATCCCTTTGGCCTCATTGTTCATTTCTGGACCCTTCCCGTCTTTTCCCTGCTATCCATGGGGTACCTAGAAAGACTCTGTTCATGTAAAAGAGAAGCAGCCTGGCCCAGGGCCTCTAGGGATCATGCAGTCCGATGAGTCAGGTGCTTCAACAAGTTGCAACATTCTTATTTCTGCTTCATGCTGGTAATTTTTGCTGCTTCACATTTTTCTAGTTTGCTCAATTGACACTGTCTAATGAGCACTTACACTTTTATAATTTGTGCTACCCTTACCCAGTCATTCAGGAGTTTCTGCCAGTGGCAGCAGCCACGTTAGAAAAGGCAGATGACGTTCAACATCCAATTGTTGTTCCAACAACTTCAACAACTCATTGTGTTAATGAACATTTTGGAAGTTAGAGCCCCAAATACCTAATCATTCTTCAAGTGTCTATTTAACAACTCCTTCCATTATTCCTCACCAGTACTTTTTAAATTCACAGATGAAATAGATACAGTAGGGAAACTTGAGAGGTGATCCCAGAACCCTCATTATAGTCTCAGGCCCATGAAGAGTCTAACTTTTCCACTACTGATGACTCCCTTTGCTGATCATCAAAAGATTCTGATGATTCTGTATATACCTTAGAGGGGTAATACATTTACTGGCCATTAGCATCCCATTGTGAATTAATTCTGCTGCTTAACTTTGAAAATCTAGCACAGTCCCTAGGAAGAGAATATGAGATATAGGGAACATGGAAGAAAGGTCCTGGAATACACAATCTGTGTGGCGGCAAGCCCTGTGAGGCCTCGCAAGGAGCATCTCTGGGTGGCCAAGAAATAGCAAGACAAC